AATTGATTAGATAAGTAATAATGAAAATGATTCAGGTGTCTCTTGGCAAAATATGAAATGATCAAGAAATTAATGGACGTGTAAACTTAATGGCCCGGAGAGCAATTTAGACTAAGAAAGACCCGTCCTGTCTCCAGTGAGAGAGACACCGTTTAGAGCTTGCTGCTAACATTAACAAATGTACTCAGAGGGTACCGTGAATTACGACGATATTATTATTCATTCCCTCGCATTTTCTTTTTATTTATAGTATCTTTTATTCTATAAATATATTTATTTTAGCTGTTTTCAATTTTTATGCAACCAACAACAATATATATTTTTTGGTTAAAAAGATATATTAATAATAAAAAGATAATTTATGCTTAATGAATCACATTTTTTTATTGACTGTAAATTATTATTATTATAACATAATTAAATAAAAAACCAAAAAGCATCCTGCAACGCAAGAATAATAATTAATTTAAGAGCTAGCTAGAAAACACATCTTACAATTCATGCACATTCTTCTTTTAACCGCGACATGGCACATGTATATTTGCCTCGTGTGTGTATTTTCATTTTCAACCTCGAGTGTGGTCCTCTTCTTTTATCATTTATAGAGATGGCGATTGCGGTTGTAGCCAAACGCAGGAATCAAATATTTAATAAAAAAAAATTAACAATTATTGTTTATGGATCTTATTATTTACTGCGTTGTAAATGCAGGGTAAATATGTGGAGCACGAAAGTAATTGTTTGTCTTCGTATTTAACAAATATTTTTAAAAAATTTAATTTGTTTTTATGTTCTTATATTATTTTTATGTATTAATATAAAAATATTAAAAATAATTTTTAATACATATCAAAACAGAAAAACATTTTAAAAAAAAACTAATCATTATCACATTTCCAACCCTGTAAAAATCCCAGAAACGTGAAGCGTGATAGCCTAAGCAAACTAACCCGGGTAAAAAAAGACTTAGAAAAAGGCTAAAAAAACAAAGGGGAAATGGACTCGCCATGAAAAGGAGAAGGAAGCCATTGACGTGACGGGAGGCTTTTAAGGATGATGAAGAGGGTTCTAAGAATATGCAAGGTGTAGCTGCATGGAGATTCTTTGCCCATTTACCTGCCCACATGGGTCTATTCATTCGGGCCCTTCCCCAGCATGTGATCGGTCGTCAGAACGAAAAGGTCTTCCAGATAGGTCTACACCTACACCAGCTAGCTAGGCTCGATTACTTTAATGATGTCTTATAAGAAAAAAGCACACACCCAGACCACACAATGAAAATCATCACAAAATCCATGGCGCTTGCATTATTTTTTTTTAAATTATTATTTTCTGTCCTTTTTATCAAGGACTAATTGTGCATGAAACATCTTCCTCGCATTAAAATTAAATTAATTCCTAACGACATGAAGATACTTAATCTTGAGCTATATCTTCAAGAATATGATGGGTATATCAAGCAATTTTATTCTTTTTTTTTAATATATATTCAGGCATGACAATTTGATTAAATATTAGAATTTATATGAAATATATTATTTTACACTACTTGTACAGAAGAATCGTGGAATTTTGCTCTTTACGTTGAAGATTTTGTTTCAACATCAATAAGCCAGCACATTAATGGTCTACGCATGCAAAATAAATAAATAAATAAACCCTTCAATTTAAAAGGGTTCATAATGTACCAATAAAAAACCTTTATTTGATCCTTTCACTCAACAAATATGTCTAGCATTTTCAATAGCTTGGGAATCCAACCAAGAAAAGGCTTAGAAACATAAAAAAAAATATTAAATATGCCTAGAATTTCTTGTTGATTTTTTGATTGAAACAGTATTAAATTTATATTTTTTATATATTTTTTGATGACTATGATGTGCTAACATAAAAAAAAAATTTAATTAAAAAAATACCATGAGTCATTTTACCACGTCAGCTTATCAAAACATAAAAGAATCATGGGAGGCGCAAACCATTGAACTCTAGCAAAGAAGTCGCTTTAAGAAAAGAAGCCCAATGGGCCCACTGTACTGAGAATTTGACGTCAACACGTCATGAGAAAGAGTCCATATGTGTCGTTGTTAGATCTATAGGAATTAGAATGGCCTTAGTTTGAAAACCTCGTAGTTGGCCAGCTCAGAGGTCCAGTATCATAACGGGACCACAGCTAAAAACACCACCTCATCCCGTACAAAGGCTGCTGGCTGCCTGAAGCTTTCCGGTTAGGTGAGTATATGAAAACGTAGTTTCATCCATTTTTTTTTTTAAATTATTTTTTTATTTAAAAATTATTTTAGTATGCTAATTTTAAAAAATTAAAAAAATATTATTTTAACATATTTTTAAATAAAAAACATTTTAAAAAATAAGTACAACCACACTTTCAAACACGATGAAGTTTATTTACACTCATATCATTCAAACACGATGAAGTTTATTTACACTCGTATCAAAATTATGTTTATATATATATAGATAGATATATTTGATTTAAAAAATAGAAATTATGACATAAAGTAAATTTATTTAAAGTTTCAAGTTAATTTTTATAATTTTAACATTAAAAATACCGATAACATGTATTTGATTTCCATTATCTTTTATATTTGATCTTGAGACAATAAATAAATATTACCTCATTATTTATTATGTTAAATAGGATTTGTGGTATGGATTATGGGTGATTTTATTTTCTCACATTAAAATAAATAAAAAAATACAATTTAATGATGAATAAAGGTGGTGTTTATATTATATTTAAATTTATGAATATAATAGTTTTTGTTGATTCGAGAATCAGTATGTTAACCTACTGAATACTCCACTAATAAATTTGTTCAATTGATTTATTGATATGCTCTGTATTGATTTGATTTGCACCTTGTAAAAGTGTCGATGGCCCTGGACTGGAAATTGTGCCTTGTTTGTATATATTATCAATTGAAAAGTCCTTACCACTAACTAGTCATTATTTTTTTCATTGGGCCTAAGCCTATTGAGCCTAAAAATAAGCACAAAAGAGAGATCAAGATCCAGTCTAATTAAAACCTAGCCCAATATTTATAAACCTTCAAAACACAAAACCTTTTATTTCCTTAAATCTGCACTAAACATGGTCTATAAGGGTTTTCTAGACCAGACCAGATCCATATTCTATGGGGTTTCTCAGGCCCATACCAAAATAGTCTATAGGGTTTTTCAGCGTCTAGGGTTGTTTAATAATAGTCCTCGTCTTTGCTCTGAGAATTCCATCCATGGCTATGGCTTCCTCAGCCAACAAAAAGAAACCCAAAAAAAACCAAACCCCAGAATCGCAATTCAACTACAACCTCAATTTTTATTCAAGATCTAAAGACTTACACTCTGCTATTTCCCTCTACGACACGGCAATATCCCAAGACACTCGTCTCAATCAACACAGCTTCAACACTCTCCTTTACCTCTGTTCAGTATCCCTCAATGACCCATCGACGAAAGAGTTGGCTTTACGATGTGGGTTTCGAATATTTGATCACATGGTGTCTAATGGGATCAAACCCAATGAAGCGTCAATCACAGCTGTTGCTAGACTAGCTGCTGCTAAAGGAGATGGTGATTATGCTTTTGACTTGGTTAAAAATATTGGGGCTTATAATGAATTGCCAAGGTTGAGGACTTACGATCCTGCATTGTTTTGTTTCTGTGAGAAGTTGGAGGCTGATAAAGCTTATGAAGTGGAGGAGCATATGGGGAGTATGGGGGTGGGTTTAGAAGAGGGGGAGATTGCGGCATTGTTGAAAGTTAGTGTAGAGAGTAGAAATGAGAAGAGGGTTTATGGGTATTTGCAGAAATTGAGGAAGATGGTGAGGTGTGTGAGAGGAGAGACCGCGAAGGTCATTGAGCATTGGTTTGCGGTTTTCGAGGGTAGTGGGGTGGAATTGGATGTGGATTTGGTGAGAGAGGCGGTTTCGAGGAATGGGGGAGGGTGGCATGGGCTGGGATGGACTGGGAAAGGGAAGTGGGAGTTGAAGAGAGGGAGTGCGGATGTTGGTGGAAAGTGTTGTTGTTGCGGGGAGCAGCTGGTTTCTGTTGATATTGATGATGATGAAACCGAGAGGTTTGCTGAATCTGTTGCTGGATTGGCTATGGAAAGGGAGGTTAAGGCTAATTTTAGCGAGTTTAAGGTGAGTGATGGTAGTGTTTGTTTTTGTACTTGGTTTTTGTTGATTTACTGATTCATTGTGCATGATTGTCTATTTTCATTGGATTTTTCTTGTTTGTATTAATGTGGTTTGTTTTGAATTTGAGGATTAATGAAGATTGAGGACTTCGAATACCGAAATAAGAAAAAAAATAAAAAATAAAGATAGAAAGAGAGAGACAGATTGATTGAGTAACTTGGTGAACTCACTGCGGGTGACATGTCTGAGTTGGCGTTTTTTTCATCGAGTAATTGTTGTCGTTGTCAATCTTTTTCCTTTCTTGATCCGAGTCACTGCCAGTCTTTTATCCGAAACATTCTCGGCATATACACGTGAATGGTGATAGTTATGCCTCCTTTATGATGATTTACTGTTTTGTTAGGAGCTTCTTCATGCACGGTTCAAATTTGGTTTAAAATTGTGATTTATGTATATTTAGATTGGTGATCTTTTCTAGCTATTGTGCAAATGCTATTGTGCAAATGCTAGTGTGTTTTCATAGAAAATTTTTTCTAGCTATTGTGCAAATGCTATTGTGTTTTCATAGAAAATCTCAAATTTCACAATAATTCAGAAAAGATACAAAATTTAAATAGTACTTCTTTTTGGGAAAAAAGTTGTTGCTCTTATCTGTTGAAACTTATTGATATTCTCTCTCATTCCTTTCTATATATTATACAATAGAATTGGCTAGAAGAACATGCCAACTATGAAGCAATAGTAGATGGAGCAAATATTGGACTTTATCAGCAGAATTTTGCAGAAGGCGGGTTTAGCATTTCTCAGGTTGTAGTTGTGCATTTGAATTGGTACTAAATTTGTTTTCTCTTCCATTAAATATGCTTCTTTGATAACTGCTAATTTGTATAACTCATTTGCTATATGTTTTCACAAATTGAAATAGAGCAGCTTGATGCTGTTGTAAAAGACCTATACAATCAGAGTGGGAAAAAATGGCCACTTATTATTATGCACAGTAAACGTCTTCGAGCACTCCTACAGAATCCTTCCACTAGAGAGCTGGTTCAAGAGTGGATAGAAAAGGATGTTCTTTATACCACGCCTCAAGGCTCCAATGATGATTGGTATAGACTTCCAGAACTAGTTCTTCTGTGTGTGTGATTTTTCTCTATCATTGAAGGATTGTTTGTTGTAAAATTTCCTTTTTGCCTGTTTTCTGGACTTTATACTATTATTTATCCAAGTCACTAATTGATCGATGCAATGTTTTCAAATATGATCTTTCCACAGTGCTGATATGATTGGATGAATCTACTCTATTTTCCTACAAAAGCTTTTCTATTCGTTTGTGTATTTTATTAACAAGTCATTTTGTATTTCAGGTATTGGCTATATGCTGCTGTCAAACTTAGATGCTTGCTAGTAACAAATGATGAAATGCGAGATCACATTTTCGAACTACTAGGAAGCGACTTCTTTGTCAAGTGGAAAGAAAGACATCAAGTATGTGCATGTCATAATCCTGTCCAATGCATACCCTCTGTTAATCTCATTTCCTGGATGTTGTTATTAACATCCATTCCTTTCAAGAAAGTATGCTGAAGTGACCATTTCTAGAAAATGCAAGGCATCTACTTGTTCATTGTAAATTTATAGTACTGTAGTGGAACTTTTTGTTGAAGACATCCTTTTGGACTTGTTAAATATCCCTTTTGAAACCTAGGACTAGGCCATATTCAAACCTATATGATGAGTTGAGTAATTGTTTTGCTTTTGTTTCACACACATAGTGTTTCCATAATTATTGTTTTCTAAAATGAATTTAACTGTCATTTTTATCACTAGGAATTGTAGCATTCATCAATATTAATGTCTGTTTTAGTCATTTGGTTAATTAGTGTTCTGTAAATGAAGATGGATTTAATTTTTCTTTCATCAGTATTCATTGTAGCGTTGAGATTTGTTTTAATAGCCATGGAATATTTTGGACAATAAGTTTGAATGTATTTTGTCTACAATGGACCTCTAACTGACTTGATGCACCACAGGAATATCAGTTGCAACTGGTTACAAGGTCCAATCAAACTATTATTTGGTCAATCCAGTAGTCTTGTATTAGATAAATCATTTCATTTCTCTTTACAAGTATGTGATTATGTAGGCTTTTATGAGGTTTACTTTTATTGTCATATGCTTGTGAAGAAGGCAATGCCTACTGTTTAGGGAATAAGAACCATCTAGGTTCAGCCTGTATCTATAAGTGGATTACATGTTTAGATATATTTCTATCCGTGGATGAATAAACTAGTGGTTTTGATTTCTTTTTAACTCATAACTAAAAGAGAGTCCATTGTCCCTCGTTGTTTTTAAGTGTGTCCTTGTTCTGAATTTTTTTTCTTGCATCGAGACAGCACTCCTTTATGGTTTTAGTAGCGTTTGGTGACATTTTTATTGATGGATATAACTTTTTTTAATTCCTGTTTTCAGGTTCGATATACTTTTGTCAAAGGGAAGCTGGAACTTCAAATGCCACCTCTGTTTTCAGTAGTCATCCAGGTATTGTTCCTAACATGGCCAATACTGATGCAGAATTGCAGACTGCTACTCTTCAAGTTGCTTATTTATAAATTAAAATTTTCCTCCTTATTCTTCCCTTTTTATAATTACAATTTTAGTGTTGCTGAGATGCCAGTTTTTTGGGTTCAGGAATCAGAAAATGGATCGTGGCATGCTCCTGTAGCAGGCGATGGTAATGATTCTCCTCAAAGCTGGCTGTGCGTTTCCCGGCCAAGAGCTTGTGATGCTCTTGAAGAAGATTCGTGCATGGAAGGGTCAAAAGACAGTAATGACATTTGCTGCAATAGTAAGTTACTGAGCTTTGGCAGACCAGAAAGTCTTACAAGTTGCAAAAATAAACTCCAGAGCCAAGCTTCTTTTCAAGAATCTGATAATAAAATCACAGCACTGACGTGCAAAAGGAAAGAGAGGTCCCCATCTCCTTCGTATCTACATGTTCCTTGTGACCAGCGCCATCAGTAGAATAAATTGGCCCGTCGTAAGCTTATAGAAATTTTGCACTTGCCATGCTATTTGGAAATTCCTAGTGCCCATCCACCCTGTGAAGCTAATCTTTGGCTTGTAAGTTGTAACTAGTGCTGTACTGTACAGTAACAACACATGGAAAAGAACACTCTACAGATACCAGCTCATTCCTTGAATGGAGATCGCTGTCGGTTTGGTTCCTTTCCCCTGGTGAGAGATGATGATTTTTCTTCTGATTAACACTATTTCATTCGGCCGATCCAACTGGGCTTCCATTAAGAGACAGAACTTGCATAATACATGAATGTTGCAAAATCTTTTCCAGAAGTGTATCTCCTCTCAATCGCCCTTCTTTCCCCTTTACAACTGCTGTTTATCGTCTGTGTTAGGCTATGAGCATTATCTTACGCGTATCCTCCGTCACATTGGAAATGCAATGCCATTCTGCTTAACTGGCCAATAAGAAATGCGAGGATTTTCCAAGCAAGAGCAGAGTTGGACAATCGAATTGGCCAGTTAAGAAAAATACAAGGACGAGCCCGACCGTTTCCAACTACTCTACCTTCAAAGCATTGGTTGAATTCCATATTTATCATATCTTATCAAGGGTCTGAGCCGCGAGCAGTAGGCTAGCTGTGTCATAAAAAAAGGATAAAAAAATAATATTAATAAAAGAAATCCTTGAAGTCGAATTTATAATTTTAGAGATAATATTTAAATAGTTTTAGAAATTATTCAAAACTTATAAAATATAGATTTTCTATATAATTTAGAATTGCAACTTAAGATTTGAGAAATTCTAGTTTTCTATCTTTTACTACACGCCGGCGTCACAAAATCTCTCCAATATACATAAACTAGAGAGTCCACACGTTTTGCATTATAAGAACACCAAACATAATTATAAAACTATTGAAACCACATTGCATTTCGCTCCTCTTTATTTTCCATACAACCTAATTAGAAGCATAAATATTCATCATTACATCAAATGATTGAAACATGGCATCATCAGAAATAGGTAAGGATTTTCCAAAGCACGATATATAATCATTCTTATAATTATTACATCACATACTTAACGAGACCGGGGATGTGAGCATTCATCATATTATTCGATGCTCGTAGGATCAAAGTTGAAGACATTTGTTTCAGGACAAGTCTTTCTTGATGCTATTTGCAACTTCTCTGAATTCTTGTCATCAAATTTGTAGACAATAATTTGTTTTCTTCAATACAATTATCAAAACAATACGATGGAATACAACAGCCTGAATAGAACAACACAGGCAATTTGAGTTTTCGATCAAGAACAACACAGGCATCTCTGTATTTTCTGAACAACAACATATTCACCAAATGCAATGCCTGGGAGGAAAAGAACGATAGGAAAAAAAATAAAATCAGTACGATAATCAGCTTGTTTAAGATCGTTTGGAACAGTAAAATGGAATTATATTACAGCAAATCAATAAATTAACCTTCGAAGGAAGCAGGAAACGAATGGCCACGTTTGCTTGGAAGCCATCCATACTTGTTAAAATGGCTAATTTTTTAACTTTTACTCTTGCTCCTTTTCTGTTAATCCATGGATTTTTCATAAAGTAACGTATGTAAAATCAAGAAGATTTGTAAGTTTTACGAGGTTTCTCAACGAAGAGCCCACATGATAAATGATTCCTGAAGTTTTCTGGCCTGCATGTGCTACCATGGCCACGATAATAGCATTGACAACCATGTCGGCTGGTACCTGCAAAATAATCAAATATATTCATTTAGTTGAGTTCCTGGAGAGTAAGATCAATTAGGAAATCAGTCCAAGAGGAGAAATTATTCAATAATTCTTGTCTCACCACATCAATAGCTGATTTTGGATTATTGGAAATAAAGCATTTCAAGTTGCCTTCTCCACAGCCAGCAAATTAAGCTAGCAATATTTCTGTCAATTGATGCACGTTGCACATTAGTGACATGATGAGCATATATGAAATTATTGTTTCTTAATTATACATAATAAATAATACCTTAGACCTTCGATCCAGCCAGGAAATGGATCTTTGTAGGTGCTGGATACGGTGGTGGGACGTGTAATGGTTAATGGTAAATCATCCTTGAGATGCATCAGAAGCATCTCTCCCATTGCCTTTGTAAAAACGCAAGTGTTTGGCCATCCATAAAGTCTTGCCCTCTTTACGTGGCAAGAGAGGTTAATTAGATTATATATATAAGATAAATTAGAATCTAATTATGTCTATAATTAGGTCCTCGTTCCACATATTTATTTCTTTAGGGAATTGAGTAACATATTATTTAAGGCATGATTCAAACTTATTAATTAGCCCTCTCTCCCAACAGTATAATCAAAGTCAATAAACCACACACACTACCATTAATTAATGAAACTTATCCTTGAATTAATTAATAATTTTTTTTAATATTAATCCTATAGTTCTTAAGAAGATTTTATACGTCATTAGCTAATGGGATTCAATGGATTTCTCAGTTGTAGTAGCTTTTATGTAATGTTATCACCAAAAAACTATGAGATGAAAAGGTGGACTTTCTTAGCTATTTAGGCCACAATGAGAATTTCTGAAAACCAAGAGGGATTTAAATCATAAGGGCCAGAGTGAAAATCGCTAATTATGTAGTGGCTAAAGTGTAGTTTACCATTTTTTTTATTAGAGATTTCTTTTATTCCTTCTAAATAATAACAACAGCAACAACAAAAACAAGCAGATACATTACTGCTCAAAGCCAAAATCCTTCATTGCTGATCTAACATCACAATCTGCAGCACTTTCTAATTGGAGTTGATATAATT